TCTGGGATACCATTTGGCGTCGCTGCCTGTGGATGTCAGGATTGGCAAGCTCATGCTGTTCGGCACCATCTTCCGCTGCCTGGATCCTGCGCTGACCATAGCAGCCAGCCTGGCCTTTAAGTCACCTTTTGTAAGTATTCTTATCCCGAGGGCCATGGGTTTGTGCAGCAGCAAAATGCTGCTGTGACTTGCAGCACGCTACATTTGATATTTAAATTATTTTTAGCCTAAATTGTTTATGTGTTAATGCAGTGCTTGTTAAAACAGTTCAGTTATAAGCAGAAGTTCATGTGGTAGCAACAAGAGTGGTATTTATATACAGTATAAACAATGAATATTATTTTTGATTTTTAGCTAAGAAGTGCACACATTTTATCTGAACTTGATGTGAAAATTACTGGTAATATAAATTGTGAAATAGTGATAATGATGGAGCTGACATGTCTGAGCTGTGAATGCAGAGGGCGGTTTGGATCTCTGTGCCTTCACTGTCACTTCTGCTTTTTGAATCAGGTGCTTTTTTGAATGCCTCATATTTTATGTTAGCCACAGGGAAAATTTGCATTCTGACTGTGAGCTGCTGTGAAAATACCAAAGAGAATGTGCCATGTAGCTCTAGAATGGCTCATCCAAGTGGTGAGGGAAAGAACACACTAACCCTGTTACTATCTGTCTAGGTGTCACCATGGGATAAAAGGGAAGAAGCAAACAAAAAGAAGCTGGAGTTTGCAGTAGGAAACAGTGACTACCTGGCTCTTCTCCAGGCCTATAAGGTGAGTTAAAACTCAGTAGCCTCTCTTGGGGTTTTGTGATGTGTTTGAAATTCAAGCAGAAATGTTTTATTAAAGGCTTCCTCCCATCCTTTAACTCAGGGATGGCGTTTAAGTATCAAAGAGGGCTCTCAAGCAAGCTACAACTACTGCAGAGAGAACTTTCTGTCAGGAAGAGTTCTTCAGGTAGGTCAGTGTTTGTGGGCTGGCACAGGGACTGGCAGAATCCCAGTGACAGAAATAAAACACTAGGAGTGACTCTCCCTGCTGGGGGTGCAGCCATCAGAGCACTCTTGTCTGTTGTAGGAGATTGCCAGTCTGAAGAGGCAGTTTGCAGAGCTGCTTTCTGACATTGGCTTTGTGAAGGAAGGATTGAGAGCCAGGGATATTGAGAAGAAGTGGTCCCAAGGAGGTGATGGCGTGTTGGATGCCACAGGAGAGGAGGTAATTCACAGCATTGCATCAATGCTTCAAAATGCTGCTGCAGTTTTTCATGTGGGCTGTCCTCAGGAAGACTAGGGCCAGAGATGTCCTGGGGTTACATGATAATCAGGGTGATCAGGGTTTGGTAGTTGTAGGATTCCTGTGCTTTGGGACAACTTGTGCTTGCTTTCTCGAGGGTGCAAGCTACTTTGTAGCCAGATGGCAGAGAACAATGTGGCTGGGCACCAGGATAGTGGTGGCCAATTTGTTCCATTGATAGTAGGGGGAAACACAGCCCAGGTCCAGCCTGAGGCCACAGGAGCAGTGACTTGTCCTCTGTAAAGCACAGGAGTGCAGCTGTAAAAGTGAACCAATTTCAGGAGTTCAGTCATTCCTGGAGCAGGGTTTTACCTTTTGACACTGAACTGGAGGATCCCTAATGATCCCCTATTGATTTCACAGGCAAATTCGAATGCAGAGAACATCAAGCTGATCTCAGCTATGCTGTGTGCTGCACTGTATCCCAATGTTGTCCAGGTAAAAAAATGCTTTTTCATTGTTTTGGTCTAGCATATCTACACAGCCTGCTTTCATTTGGGCTCAATGGGGCAGCCTTGAGCCTGGCTTAAGTTGCCAAAGTTTGCTGCATGTGGTGTCAGAGCACCAGTTTATTGCCTGAGACTGCTGCTATTCCTACAGGCTGATTACAGTGTCACACAGAAGCCAGCAGCCAATGGGAAGAAGACACTTAAAATTACACCTTTTTAGAAGGCTGAGGTTACAGAGGAAGTAAGGGTTGGACAGCACCTAGAGTTTAATACCTCCCTCCAGTAACTTGACATGTTGCTGCTACAGAATTTCTGGTTTTGAAAAATTGAAAACATGAAGTTAAAAGGTTTTCTGGTGCAGCAGAGTTTTATAACTTTTTTCCTTACCATACAGGTGAAAAAGCCAGAGGGTAAATACCAAAAGACCAGTACAGGAGCAGTCAAAATGCAACCAAAAGCAGAAGAGCTGAAGTTTGTTACTAAAAATGATGGTTATGTTCATATTCATCCTTCATCTGTGAATTATCAGGTCGGGATGCTTCTTTCTGCAAAGCATGCTCTCTTTTTATAAAAGAATCACTTTTGCTTGAGTGTTTAAAATTACACTGAGGATCCCTATTGATGTTTAAAATAAAAAATCTTAATGATTAACAGTCCTGTGCTAGGGCTGTAAATAATGGTGCAATCCTGAGTTATAAGTGTCCTCCTGGGCACAGAGTTAAACAGCAGCCTCTGGAGCCAGCAGCTGCTGGCAGCTCTTTTGGGTCCAGGAGGGTCTGTTAGGGCTGCAGGTGCACTTCAGGCACTTGCTCTCTGCTGCTGCAGAAGAGGCAGAGGCAGGAAGAGCAGTGCCAGTCTGACCAGGCTGTCGCGTCCCTGTCCCAGACCAGGCACTTTGAGAGCCCATACCTGGTGTACCACGAGAAGATCAAGACGAGCCGAGTGTTCATCCGGGACTGCAGCATGGTGTCTGTGTACCCGCTGGTGCTGCTCGGCGGCGGCCAGGTGCACATGCAGCTGCTCAAGGGGGACTTTGTCATCTCCCTGGATGACGGCTGGATTCGCTTTGTGGCTGCCTCTCACCAGGTGAGGAGGAGGAGGGGCTGTCCTGGGAGAGCTGCAGAGCTGGGCTGCAGATGAGCTCACCCGTGCCTGTTTTCCCATGTGTGTCAGGTGGCTGAGCTGGTGAAGGAGCTGCGCTGCGAGCTGGACCAGCTGCTGCAGGATAAAATCAAGAATCCCAGCATGGATTTGTGCATGTGTCCCCGAGGCTCTCGGATCATCGGGATGATTGTCAAGCTTGTGACCACACAGTGACATCAGAACAGCTTTCTGTATGTAAAGCATCACCCATGGCTGCTGCCTGAGAACAGACCAAGTAACATCAGTGTCCTAACGTATTTATTGGTCCAAAATGTGGCACTCACCTCTGGAAGAACAAGCTGGCAACTGTAATGTTGAGTTTTGGGGCTTTTTTGTTTGCTTGCTTGTTCAAAATAAGGTGGCTTACAGTAGACTCTGGGAAATGGGAAAATAGCAATTCTTCCAGAAGGAATAGAAACCTCTGAGTGTTTTTTATGGGACTGTGCACTGGCAGTAGTGTTTTCTGGTAACATGAACACCTGCTAGCCAGCTGTTTCTTGTAATAGTCATGGCTGGAGGCAGCATGTGACACAGGCAGCTGCTCCCAAATTGGTTTAAACTCACTTCTATATTTTGACTAAGACTTTACTGAGGTAGTTTTGTCTGACTAGGGGTCCTGTTTGCAGTTCAACCCAAAGCCCTTGTGCAAGTAAGCATCTTTAGATTTGTGTCAAGAGGTTCTGAAATTCAGAGGATGTCCTGTGGTGAGGAGATGTACTGGCTCAGTCAGGGTGGTTTTGGATCAGTGCAGCTTGCTGTAGTGACAAGATAAAACTCCAAGACAGTGTTTGAAAGAGTGAAGGAGAGGCTGTTCCAGCCCTTCCTGCACTGGGAATAAGTAAGAGCTGAGATGGACTGCTGTAGTGCATTAAAACGAACTCTTGGGCAGACGCCATTGCTAATTGCTAACATGTTCTGGTGAGGTAGTCCTCCCACCACCCTGCACAGCTGGAACAAAGCCCCACTCTTGGAAGCCTTCAGCCAAACTCCTGCTCTGAGGACTGGCCTGCTCCAGTGTGGGGTAAAATGCTGTAGCAATAATGAACTATTATTTCCTCCCTTTGCCCTTGCTTTTAATTGCAGTGCTGAGCATTGCTGCAGCCAAGCTGCTCAAATACCAAGTGCCTTAAGTGACAGGACTGGGCTGTTCACCAGAATGACCACTGGCCTCCAGCACCAGTCTCATCTACAACCTTCAGAAGCCTGAGGAATGTGAGTGGAGGGAGGGACATTGTTTGGAAGAGTTTTGGTTTTTAAAAAAATACACATTGTTTGTAGGAGTTTCACACCAACAACCCTCCTGTGAGGAAGATGACAGGAGTATCAAGACCAATATCCCTGTGCAGAGAATGGCCACTGCAGCTCTGCTGGGATGGATTAGCCCCCAGCCAGCTCCACTCCCTCCTCCATCCCACCTCCACGAGCTGGCACCAGGAGGAGGAAGGATGTGATGCAAGAAATTCACATGCTGGGATAGTTTAATAATAAAACAAAAGCCACACACAGCCATAGCGAGAGAAGTGAGGAATTTACTCCCCACTTCCCTTGGGCAGGCAGGTGTTCAGCCACTCCAGGAAAGCAGCACGCTGTCCTTCCTATCATTCCTAAAATTACCTGGTACTCCAAAATTTCCTTGCTATTCTGATAACAGCCATTATCAGCTGCAAAGATAAAGCAAATTGGCAAAAATCCTTCACTGTTTTATTATTTTAGTAATCTATCCATGGTGATACGGAGTTAGTCTAGTTTCCCAAAGCAACCACGGCTCAGCACAGCAGCAAGGCCCTTCGCTGGGTATGCTTCACTGCCGGGATGGAACCAGGCAGACAGGAGGAACTTGAGCTCTCAATTCCCCATAGATCCTGCTACTTGAACACAACCTGCAAGTTGTCCTTAGGATCAACACAGAACCCCTCAAACTTCCTAAAAAAGGTATACAGACACAGACATACAGCATAACACACAGGAAACACCTGGCACTGGTACCTTTTCCTCTAGCTGGTGCTGCATAGGGATGTGTGCCTGTCACAACCTGTCTGCTGTTTTTCAGCCCAGGGGCACACTGCCTGCTTCCCCATCCCAACCATGAACAGCAGGATTATCACAATTTATTTCTTAGTTAGAAATGCAGTTTATTTCAATGCACCAATAAAAAAAAAAAAAAGCCCAACATATTCAGATCACAGAACACAAACACAACAGAAGAGTTTTGTATTAGTCTGCTAACAAGACTTTTAGAAGATAAGAGATTCATGCCAATTGCTAGTCAATAGAAACTGCTTTCTAGGACTAAGCCCTTACATCACAAAATCCCTTATAATGTAAACAAAATAACTTTTTTACTAAACTTCTTAAATCTGAACCCATTCTTTTAGGACTTTCATTCCTTCAAGGGCTTCCTGATGGTGAGTGACTGAAAGGAAAAAAAAAGATAAACCATTAAAAACAACTCCTACAGCAAAACCAACAGAAACTGCATGCTACCTCAGGCTTCCTCTGGAGTTCTGCCCCTATTTTCATTTACAGTTCTCAAATAATGAAAGAAGTGTTGTATTTTACACTTCAACTTAAAAACTGCTTTAAGCTTGAAAGCTGAAGACAGAGCTGAGACATCAAGCCTGCTCAGAAACCTCAATTCCATCCCATAATTCTCTCTGGTAACACAGGAAAACTTCTTCCTTCATGGAGCACAGCACTGCTTGGCAGCTGTGCAACTCCCGAGCCTGCAGGAGGCACCAGCAGGAATTGAATCCTACACCACTTCATTGGCTTGCTCCACACATTACTCACTTGTTCCTTAGATTCCAAATTCCTCAGGAACATTTCATTAAAGGTTTCCTTAGCAGCTATTCTTATTCCTTAGCTATATCATGACATTCTAACTGCCAGCAGCAGGAAATGCCTATGAACAATTCATCTCATAGTTCAGATTTAGGCAAGTAAATATCCTGAGCTCTTATCCTTGCCCAAGTTAACTTCTCTAGGAACTGCTCCAGCTTAAGTGCTATAGAACCATAGGACCGACTCCAGTTCTAAAACATTCCTACCTTCTCTTTGGAGAGGGTGATCTCGACTTTGAGCGGCTGTTTAAAAACAAACAAAGAGACCAATCAGCGTGACTGGTACACTTGGGTACTCTCAGCATCCACTTCTGACCATTTAAAACCAGAACAATTTGATGCTGTTAAATGCATTGACACTGCTGGTATCAAGTGTACCCAGGTACTTTAAGCAAGAAGCTGCAGGTGAGAAGGAAAAATGCTGGAAGCCGGAGCCCTTGGGAAAAGAGCAACACACAGCTTCAAAGCTGCTGTAAATCACAGTAACCCTGCAAAGCAGGAGCAGTGAATCGAGCAGAGTTAGAGAGAGGGAGAACTACAGACACTTAAGAACAAAGGTAGGAGAAAACATGCCCCAATTCCTGTCAATAGTATTTTTTATAAGTAACAAGTGTAAAACATCAGTATGTAAAATCCTGGAAGAACTGCCTACTGTCCCACAAAAGTCAGCTGTTCAAAAAACCCCATAATGTATGAAAAATGTTTTTCAAGTCAGCTATGAAAAATAAAAAAAACAACCCTGCAACTGAATTATCAGTCCAAACAGAGTTTTTGAATCATGAGGAGAAAAAAACTAAGAACCCCACAAAAAAACCCCACCAATGAAAACAAAAACCAACTGAGTGGTACTTGTATTTGAACGCTCACCTTTTAGCAGGTAAGCCAGATTTAGATCTACCATGAGACTCAGACCTACAACAGGAGAAAAATAAAGCTCAGCAAAGCAGCCAGTGAGCATGCAAACACATGGAGAGTTAGCTACACCAGCAACAGCAAATTCACCCCACGCAGCAGCACCAACCACAGAGAGAAGGCTCTGGTGCTGCAGGCCTTCCCCAGGGCCTTCCAAGGGAATCCTCCAGCTCTGAGTGCAGAGACCCCAACTCATCCGAAGGCACGAGTGCAAGCACAGGAAGCTCCCCAGCAAAGCTTCAGCTGCCAGTTCCACAAAACACCAGACCAGACTCCCACACTTCCTTCCTAACTGCAAGTATCCCTTCTAGAAAGGGAAGAATAGTTTCAAGTGTCATAAAGTATTTTAACAGTATATTAAGAGCCTGGAATCAGCCACAAGTAAGTGTGCATGCTGAAGAGCTGTGCATTCTTCAGATCAAGTTCTCAATGCCAGTTTCATTCAAGCATAATATAGATTTTGCACCAATATCTGGCTACTAATGAGTAAACTATTCCAAATTTATCTCAGGAATTAAAATCTACTTGAACAGTGAAACTTTCCTCCCACATTTATTATGTTACTTTACCAACTCAAATATTTGCTTTTACTTAAAACTGTCTTCCTAGAGTGTCAGAATTCAATCTATCACTAGACATCAGAATGCTCTGTTCAACACACTTGGCCAAAAAAGCAAAATGCTTTAACTCTATTTCTGCTCAGAACTGTTTTTAAAGGATAATCAAAATTCACCTTTACCTGCTCTATTAACTTATACTGCTGGCACATGTTAAACAAAATGTTATATGTCACTGCTTTGAAACCTTCCTGGTCACTATCCTGAGCCACTGTCTGTCCCATTTCCTCTCTTGTAACAAGTAACTTTTTAATGGATTACAGTTACTGCAGATGGGAATGCTCACAACCACCCAGAACTGGTACTGAGCATGAGCATCTCTCACTGCTAGGTAGAAGGCAGCACAGCACACAAAACCATCCTCAATGTACTATATACCTAAGATTTTAAAAAATTCTGTCCATAGACCTTAAATTGTACACCACTACTTTTTGTCCATGAAAAGGCATAAATAATATTAAGTACAAATATTGCTCTGCTGGACAGCCTTATAAGTGCTTCCAAATTCCCCCTGGGGGAAAAAAAAAAAACAACAAAAAAGACCACCACAACCAAACAACACACCAAAACCATTACTGGTTTGAACTCAAACAAGTGTCTCACCTGCTTCGAGGCCATACAACAGACCGGGACCTGGAGCGTGACCTGGACCTAGATCTGTAAAAAGAACAATGGAAGCTCTACTACCACATGCTTCATACATGTGAGACAGAAACCAGTTATTGTAAATGTCCCAGAAGACTGAGAACTTTGCTGATCTGTTGGTTTTGCAGAAGTAATTTTTATTATTAGAAGGCTGTAGCACCTTTGTAGCCATCCAGGTAAAATGAATCCCACTGTCTTACTGGACTAAGCAATTACACCCTGTACACAAGCTGAATTTGGAAACCTTAACCATGGAGCAAGACTGCAACTCTGGTACAATGTTAGAAAGAAAAAGTAACATCTCAGACACAGCAGTTCCAAAATTATATGCTTAAATTTTAAACAAAGTATTCAGAGTAGCTCTTACACAGGTAACACCATAAAGGTTCCTACCAACCTGTGGGCTGCAAAACAAACTTATTGATTACATTATAAATGCTAAATATATATATATATATATACACACATAGATAGATACTTGATATTTCAGTGTGTCCTTCAACAATGCTGTGGGTTTAACAACAACCACATACCTTGACCTTCTTAGAGAACCAGAGCGGGACCTGCGGGGTGAGAACGATCTGTATCTGCGAGGAGACATCGACCGGGACCTGCGGTAGGAAGCTGACCTGGATCTACAAAACAAAGCGAAAACCAACCCATCACTTCAAGGTAATTTTCACAACAGCTACAGAAAAAGGAGGAGAGGCCCGCAGAGGAAGGAGTGGGAATGAAAACAGAGAAGGCAGAGCCCTACCTCCTACCACGGCTGCGGCTGCGTGACCGGGAATACCTTCTTCCTCGGGACCTCGAGCGGGATCTGGACCGGGACCTGGGTTTAGGTTAGAAAAAACAGGTATCAGCAGACAGCTGCAGCAACCCACACCTGTGAGGCCCTGCTGAAGTCAAAACTTTTTTCAGACAACTAAAAAGAGAATTTAAAAAAAAAACAAAAAAAGAAAAACCAAAAACCAAACAAAACGAAACAAAAACACACCACTAGCATCTGTCAGTTGGAAAAATGTCTGGGCCTACTTGTCTTGAGCATTTTTACTACCTAGAAAAATGTTAAAAGCTGAATTACATTGCAGAATTACATTAGAATAGAAAACACTGTAATGCGTATTTAAAATAAACCTTGCAAGTTTGCAGGTCGACCCTCTTTGGCCCAAGGTCTAGCAGATCTAGACGATCTAGAAGTATCTATAGGCGAGCGCTGCATCTAGGTAGGTGTTCTCTTCAATCTAACGACGATCAAACTGACAGCCCAATGAGCCAGGGTGAGGCTTGATTGACGCAAGAAGATTTTTCTAGGTGGGAATGTGGTCAATCTGGTGTTCCTCTTTCTAAACCGGAGGGGGGCCCCAATTGAATGCCAAATTTACTGTTTACGGCGGTCACCGTCTCAAATTTTCTGCCCTTAAAGAATAAGGTGAAGCTACGTGTAGATGGCTCGAGGGGATCTGGCCTCTTATGCTGATCACCTCAAGGTCTAGGAGGATCTTAAGTGTCGGATTTGCAAGGCGCCTCAGCATGAAATCTTAAGGCTCGTGACATTCTGAATCAAGGCGACTGACTCAAACGAAGAAACCTGAAAGGTTTTGACCAGGTTGATTATTAAGATATTAACATTTTTTATGTATTAGCAAAAAAAAAAGTTTGTGATATACACCTGTTGACTTACAATAATTAGAGTTAAAACTGGTGTAACATTGTGTTCTTTGCTAACAAGAACTAGACAAAAGCGAGCTGGCGAAGCAACGCAGCCGCCCCGGCCCCGCACGTACCTGCTCCTCCTTCGGCGGCTATAGCGGTGACAGTCATAGGCATAGTGGCCTTTCTCACCACACTCGTAGCATCTGTCGTTGGGGTCGAAGGGGCGCCGGGCAGGGGGCCGGTCGTAGCGGGAGCGGCGCGGCATCCCTGTGGAAACTTCCACTCTGACCCTGGAGCCGCATATTATCCTGTAAAACACGGCAGCTATTAGCCAAAAGAATATTCTCCTCTGATGCGCTCAAGCAACACACATGAGGAATCTATTACTGGTGTGGCGTGTAAAGACCGAAAGCTACGGCCCTCACAAAAGTTCCAGACATGCACGTACTTCCCATCGAGGCCAAGCACAGCATCTTCGGCATCCCGGGGGTCTTCGAACTCCACGAAGGCGAACCCCGGCGGGTTCCTGGCGATCCACACGGTTCTCAGAGGTCCGTAGTAGCTGAAGGCTCTCTCGAGCTCGCCTTTGCCGGCGCCCGTGCCCAGGTTCCCCACGTACACCTTGGTCTCTGCGGGGACGAGCGGCCGCCATGTCAGCGCCGGGCACGCGGCCGCCCCTCCCCCGCTCCCTCCCGCCGCCATCTTGGGAGCCGCGTCCATCTTAGAGCGCTCCCGCCGGGCCGCGCCCGCCCTGCGCAGCCCCCGCGCCCGCGGCGGCCGCCCCCTCCCCGCCATTGCCGCCTCCTCAGCGGCCGCCCGAGGGAGCGACCACCTTCTCCCCCCGCCGGAGCGGCACGAGCTCCACTACTCCCGCCACCTTTCTCCTCATCCCCCTGCCCGAAGCAGAAGCCCCCGCGCGGCTCTGAGACTCCCCGGGCTCCCCGCCGTCCCCACCGTATCGCCCGTATCGCGACATCCTCCCGATGACAGAGGAGCCCGGGCAGGCGCGGCCCTTATATAGAGGAGCAGCCGCTGCGCCTGCGCGCCGCGCGCGGGGCGGGCCGGGGCGGGCGCGCGCGGCCTCGCGAGAAGCGGTTCCCGCGCGCGGCCCCGCGGCCTGAGGAGACGTGAGGGGGCGCGGCGGCCCCCGGGCTGCTGAGCGCAGCGTGCCCCGCCAGCCCCCAGCGGCAGCCACCAACAGCGTTTGCAGCGTGTGGCACCCCTCACGCGTGACCCATCATGGCTTCTGCCTGTGCCGAGCGTGAAGGAGCTGATGCCATGGGTCTTACTCCACGTTCAGGAGTGGGCCCTGCCTTGGAACAAGGCATCCCCCAGTTGCTCCAATTCCCTTATGATGGCTCACACCTCGGGTCCATCCCAAGCAGCCTTGGGAGGTCAGGCCCTGGTTTATCCCCTCATGTCTGACATGCAGCTGGAGCTGTTGTGTGTTGCCATCTCCCAACCTTTCCAGGGAGACACACACAGTAATGGATGTGCAGCAGACATTTTTTAAGAAAAAATCAACACAAACCTGACAGATGACAAGTAATTGTAGGTAAATGCCAGCACGAATGAGAACAGCCTTTTAAGAACAAGGATTAGGCAGACTTTCCAGTTGCATTTGAGCACACCAATGTGCTAATCTCCTAATAAGGCAGAACAAATAACTGAGATAAATGAGGCTTCTAAATGTTCCTCACTGCATTAATAATCTCAGGAATAATCACACAATTATTCCTGCATCATGTGTTGGTATAAACTAGAAACACAAACTTACTGAATTGCAACACATTTTCCTTTTACAGAACACTGGTTTCCCAAGCACTGCTGCTCTAAAACATCAAATATAGATAAGTTTTAAAACCTGCTATTTGCCTGCTAACCTTCCCTAATAATTTTACAAACTTGGACGTGCATTGTAATTCATGTTCTAAACTAGGAGAACAGTAATGGAAAAACAAAGAAACTGCCAGCCATGTAAACAACAAAACAGTTTTCTGAACATTTTTTTTTCAATTTGGTTTGGGAAGTCCAGGTGTCATAGTTCTCTTTCTATAAAAAAAAAAGGAAAAAGAATCTGCTAAGCAGTTCAAATAAAGGTACCTTCAGCACGATAATTAAACTAGTTTTAAAGGGAAAACAGTTTAAATGTATTATGTATCATCCTTTACAATACTGTTACAAGAACTCTGACAAATTAAACTGATAAATCGGTTTAGTACAACAGCTTGCTTCTAATAAAAATAGCACATGAAAAAATGCTTGTGCTGTGAGTTTATACTTTTTGTTTTATTCCTTCCTTTACATAAAAAAAAAGCCAAGACAAAAGTACCCGAAATGCAGCTTTTGTGCAAACAGTGAGCATTGACACCCAGGAGAGTTCCTGAAACAGCCCAGTTCCTAAAGCAGGAGAGCTCCTAGAGAGAAGCCTCTGCAGCAGGCTCGGCGCTGCTGCTGCAGGCAGCCCTGCAGCCCTGCAGCCAGCCCTGCAGCAGGCCCTGCACGCGGGCCAGGATGATCTCGTTGGTGCTGCTGCACTGCTCGGGGCCATACGGGGGCTCGATGGTCAGCACCCCCGCCACGCTCAGCGTCCTGCCCAGCTCCCCCTGCTCGCCCACGGGGATGTGGTTTGTCTCCAGCCACGTCTTCAAGGCGTTCTTCCTCTTCTCCAGCTCCTCGGGGCTGTAGGCTTGGCACTCCTCTGGCTCGAGGATGTGAGCGAGGCGGCGCTTCATGTCACTGTCCCCTTCTTGCAGGATCTCGACCTCCTGAATGGCGTGGCCCATGACGAATGATATGGATCCTTTCTCGTTCTCTGGGAACATTGCGAGGACAATGCTGTCAAGGAAGGAAGATTGTGTAAGTTCCTGTTCTTAACTGAAGACTGAGAAGCAGCCTCCAAGGTTTTGGAGATAAGAGCTCATTAGCATCAGTCTAATCCAGGTATTTAGGCAATACCCAGCACCCAGCATTTTCCTTTCAAAAGCACGCTGCTATACCCTTAAAATACTAAAAATGTGGAGCTCTGCAGGGAATTGCTGGTCTTGAATTTGAAACTGCTCTAGACACTATCAAGCAGAATATAAACATACACTTTGCTTTGAAAAAATAAAGTCTGGAAATCTAAATATTTTTGTGCAGCTTTCCCAACACTGCTGAAGAACCTAAAACATTTCAACATTCAGAAACAGTGATACTTTCATACATACAGCACTTCGAATGTTGAAGGCAGCTAACAACACCAGAACTTTTTAATGAAAGAACAGTCATATTTATTGATCATTGCTAAAAGAATACTTTTTTTATGACTGTTGCCAGTTTATAAAATGAAGATACAACAGGAACACACTACAGAAGGCTCAGGCTCACATTGTAGAAGCATGCTGTTTTCCCAAGGGCACTTGCATCTCAGAAGTCATAAAATGCAAGTAGGAAGGCAGCTGGTTATATTTCTAGGATCTCTCCCTCCTGTATCAACAAACAGCATCAGAAACCATTTTATTCCTCTTCTGGGAAGCACAACTCCAGACCTTGATGCCAGCACTTCACTAGCCTATTATTGCCACCATTAGTGGAAGTAGTGACTTTTTGGGATGCAAGATATGCCTTAATTTCAGCATGGACCATCACCAGAATCACTCACAGCTGCATGAACCTTCCTTACCAAAATGATAGGAAACTTCATGAGATTATTGGAGCAACTTCAGAGCTGAAGCAAAAACCAATTCTTCTGAAACACATCAGAAGCTGAATGTTTTAGTTTTCAGCCTCCAGCCTGTGTTCATATGGGACAAGCTCACATCCAATAAGGTATGAAAGAGCTCTGGCAACAAGGAGACAAATATCTGCCCATTCCCGGGTGCATTTTGCCTTTCAAACCCTGTTTTCAAGTTACTCACTTGAGATACCAGAGATGTGTGGTACCACTTTCTGTCCAGTGCCCCTGATTTTCCCTTCTTGCTCTCCAAAGAAGCCTCAACACCTTCCTGGGCATCTGGCTGGAGTTGAAAGCCAGACACCAATGGAAGAACTCTAGACAAAGGATTTCAACACCTAAAGCATCAAAAGCACTTCAGCACCCTTCGTAAAGCAGGGTTTGGTATATTACCAAAAGCAACCTTTAGCACATGGATTGCTGAGAGCTAATAGTATAGGTTAATATATAAGTTTTAAATAAGAATAAGTCACTTGGAATTATAATACTGTGTGATTTAATATGCTGTTCACTTAGCTTTACTTGCTTAGCATGAAGATCTGGGTTTGCTGAAGCCTTGGCTACAAGATGTGAACCTTCACCTTGAACACATGCAGTCAGGTGGTAGAGAACTGATTTTTTAGCAGTTCTCCTACACACTGGCACAGTGCTGAGTTTTGAATTTACAGTGAGAATAATATTCCTAGCACACTGATATTTTGGTTGTTGCTAAGCAGTGCTTATTCTAAATCATGGACTTTTTAGTTTCCCATGCTCAGCCAGAGATGAGGTGCACAGGAAGTACAAACCAGAAGATAAGAAGGCTGCAGCCATCAGCAGAAGCTGTAACTTAAGAAGATAACATTACATTTTTGCTCCAAGTAAGTTTGCTTCAGCCTTAGAACCTTTTCTCCTCCTAAAAATCTTGTTTTTCATAAAAGCTTTGGTACTTACGTGGCAGAAACTGGGTCAACAGTTAAAACCCATCCTTCATATTCATTTTTCTCAACAGCAACAACTTTCACCAATTTGTTCACATACGTTTCCCAATCTAGAGGGCTTTTTCTCTGCCAGTCATTCATATTTCCTACATCCAGGACCTAGAAAGCAACCAGATCAATCAGCAGATGCAGTCAATCTTTTTGCTTTGCTCTTCATGTCAGAACTGGGTTTGCCTCCATGTAAAGATTTGTCTTTAGCAAAACTCGCCTTTTTTTTTTTTTTTTTTTTTTTTTTTTTTTTTTTTTTTTTTTTTTTTTTTTTTTTTTTTAAGCAGACATTCACACAACTGGTTTGCCTAAAGCTGCATTTCTGTAATTCCCCACGGAGTCAGCTTGTTTTTAAAGGCACACAGCAAAGCCTCAGACCCCACTGTTGTGATCACCTTACGCCTCCCCGTTGCATCTAACACTCCATCTATTGCTCTGCCTTCTTACAAAACCTCGGAGGTGAAAGTTCAGCGCGTCTCGGGTGCCGAGCCCTTCCGCCGCCCGTGGCTAAGCGTTATCCAGGCGGCTCTCTCCCCATCCCCTCCGCTGGAGCACAGCAAGTGCTGTTCACTCTGTTCCCGTCCGGCATCCCCAGCCAGCGCTCCGCCGGGAGCGGGGCCGCAGAGCCATGGGCGCAGCGCGGCTCGGGAGCACCGGGGGCTGCAGCGCGCTCTCTTCCCCGGAATGCCTTTTTTGCTCCTGGTTGTAGAGGTGCTTTTAGCAGGCTTTGCCGTGAAGGTGGGAAACTTGATTCCAACATCCACCCCCAGCCCACACCTGCCCTATGCCAGCAGCACTCCTACAGAGCTTCCAGCTGCTAGTCCTTGATTCGGTTATTCGTTAGGAATTTGCAACAGTTTTGAAAGTGCTAAAACAAAAAATATAAAGGGTATAAAATTTTGCAGGCTTAAAGGAGCCGTTTCCTTTTTTTCCTTTCTTTTTGAGAGTCCCAATTCAGCCTCTCCAGTACTACAGGGATTGTGTATGAATGGCTTGTGCCACTGCATTCAGCTACCGCTTTCTTTCAGCCACGGCTCGTGTATTAGAAAGCAGGGAGAGAAAATCTAATTGTTTCCTAAGAACAAGCACTGGCCTGCACTCCAGAGGCGGCTACGCACCAGCTGATGGGGATATCACCTCCAATACTGGATGCGTCCAGGGATCGCTCCCACTCAGGAGATGCCAGGCCAGAAAAGCCGCGCTGGCTGTGCTCCCAACGGGCAGATGACCACCTGCAGCAGCAGCAGCAGCAGCGGGACGGGGACTCCGCGTTCCCAGGGAAAGGCTCTCCCGCTCCTAGAGAAAGGCTCTCCCGTTCCCAGGGAAAGGCTCTCCCGCTCCTAGAGAAAGGCTCTCCCGTTCCCAGGGAAAGGCTGTCCTGTTCCCGCCGCCGCCCCCGCTTCCCGTTCGTGAGCCCGCCCCGCGCATGCGCGCCGCCGCGCGCGGGGGAGGCGGGGGAGCAGGCCAGGGGGCAGGCGCGTGCGGCGGCGCGTGCGCGCGGGCGGCGGAGCCGTCGGGATGTCGCGTTACGGCCGCTATGGAGGCGGTGAGCGCGCCGGGGGCCGCGGGCGGCGGGCGGCTACGCGAGTGGGAGGGGGAGACGACTCGGGGAGAGAGGAGATTACGGCGGGGAGCTTGGCGGCGGGCGGGCATCCGTGGGAAGGGGAGAAATGCGACGCCGTTGCCGAGGCCGCCGTTGTCGCCGCCGCCATTTTGCGTCAGCGGCCGCGGGGCAGGGCGCGCGGCGAAGGCGGGAAGGGGCCGCGCGGACAAGATGGCGGCGGCCGGGGCAGGGCGGGCAGCGGCTGAGCCCGCGGCCGGCCCCGCGCTGAGCCCCGCTCGTCCCCGCAGAGACCAAGGTGTACGTGGGGAACCTGGGCACGGGCGCCGGCAAAGGCGAGCTCGAGAGAGCCTTCAGCTACTACGGACCTCTGAGAACCGTGTGGATCGCCAGGAACCCGCCGGGGTTCGCCTTCGTGGAGTTCGAAGACCCCCGGGATGCCGAAGATGCTGTCCGTGGACTTGACGGGAAGTACGTGTCCTTTTTGCGTGTCTGCCGAGGCTGCCGACAGAGAACCGGGGTTTATCTCGGCGGTCCCTGTGTTCTTCTGGTTCATCACGGACTGAAAGGTTTAACCGAGACCCTTCGTGGACTCGTTCCAGGGTGATCTGCGGCTCCAGGGTCAGAGTGGAAGTTTCCACAGGGATGCCGCGCCGCTCCCGCTACGACCGGCCCCCTGCCCGGCGCCCCTTCGACCCCAACGACAGATGCTACGAGTGTGGTGAGAAAGGCCACTATGCCTATGACTGTCACCGCTATAGCCGCCGAAGGAGGAGCAGGTACGTGCGGGGCCGGGGCGGCTGCGTTGCTTCGCCAGCTCGCTTTTGTCTAGTTCTTGTTAGCAAAGAACACAATGTTACACCAGTTTTNAAATGTTAATATCTTAATAATCAACCTGGTCAAAACCTTTCAGGTTTCTTCGTTTGAGTCAGTCGCCTTGATTCAGAATGTCACGAGCCTTAAGATTTCATGCTGAGGCGCCTTGCAAATCCGACACTTAAGATCCTCCTAGACCTTGAGGTGATCAGCATAAGAGGCCAGATCCCCTCGAGCCATCTACACGTAGCTTCACCTTATTCTTTAAGGGCAGAAAATTTGAGACGGTGACCGCCGTAAACAGTAAATTTGGCATTCAATTGGGGCCCCCCTCCGGTTTAGAAAGAGGAACACCAGATTGACCACATTCCCACCTAGAAAAATCTTCTTGCGTCAATCAAGCCTCACCCTGGCTCATTGGGCTGTCAGTTTGATCGTCGTTAGATTGAAGAGAACACCTACCTAGATGCAGCGCTCGCCTATAGATACTTCTAGATCGTCTAGATCTGCTAGACCTTGGGCCAAAGAGGGTCGACCTGCAAACTTGCAAGGTTTATTTTAAATACGCATTACAGTGTTTTCTATTCTAATGTAATTCTGCAATGTAATTCAGCTTTTAACATTTTTCTAGGTAGTAAAAATGCTCAAGACAAGTAGGCCCAGACATTTTTCCAACTGACAGATGCTAGTTCTTTAGTTGTCTGAAAAAAGTTTTGACTTCAGCAGGGCCTCACAGGTGTGGGTTGCTGCAGCTGTCTGCTGATACCTGTTTTTTCTAACCTAAACCCAGGTCCCGGTCCAGATCCCGCTCGAGGTCCCGAGGAAGAAGGTATTCCCGGTCACGCAGCCGCAGCCGTGGTAGGAGGTGTGTTTGAGTTTGTCTTTTATTCCTGTTGCCTTCTTTTGCCCAGAAAAAGCTATACTTGAACAACTCTCGGAATTGCTTTCTTTGTAGGTCCAGGTCAGCTTCCTATCGTAGATCCAGGTCCGTGTCTCCTCGAAGGTCCAGGTCTGTGTCTCCCCGCCGGTCACGGTCAGCTTCCTTGAAGAGATCAAGGTAATTAAGATTAATTTTTACTGTTTGGTTTATTTTTGTTACTGTTTTCTTGTTTTAATTAGATTCCAAAAGGTATTGGATAGCAGATTTCAAAAGGTGCTGATCTGTAGAATTCAGCATGCTTTAAAATGTTTCTGACAATTCTAGTTAAATCTACAGGTGTGCTAATGAGTTCTGAGCCCTTACCTTGAGACAGTGGCATCTCCCATGATTGAATGTCTTTGTCTAAAATGTGTAATGATCATGTAGGTATATGATCATGTAAGTCTTAAGTTCACAAATGACAATTTACATAGTGCTGTTATTGTCATTACTTTTTCTTGAGTTTATTTGTTTTTAATTTATCTCAATTTTTTAATTTCAGGTCTAGATCAAGATCCAGATCTAGATCCAGATCGGTTACATGGCCCCGAAGCAGGTATGTGACCATAGGTAGTTGGTAAAAGTTGCTTAAAAGTCTCAATAGGCTCTCTAACAACTGTTAAGTTTTTTTCCAGAAAAAGATGTGTTTTCCCTCCACTAACCTAGGGGTCCATAGTTTTAAAATGCAGTGCAGAAGATTGTTCTTCCTCTTTTTATTCTTTGGCATACCACTAACATCTAGGTTACCATAGTCATCATAAATACTGGTTTGATTGGGTTGCATTAACAGCTAACAAATGTAGAATTAATCTCAAAAGTTTATTTTTCTTCGTGTAGCAGTCACAAGATTGTGGATTCTTCCCATTATTTTTCCGAGAAAGCAAGATGCCCTTCAGTAATGTGTTATTGTCTGCAGCCAGGCAAGGCTTGAAGGGCTTGCTGGTGTCCTGAGTGTTACAGCTGCAGTTCCAGCTCTGTTGAATATCAGTGTCAGTCTGCAGGAGCTGATTTTGGTTTGAGATAAACATCTGTGAGAATTATTGTGCACCAATAAACGTGTCACAAGGATGCTGTTCATTCCCTTATACTTTACTTGATAGTAAGTGCAGCCTGTGCTTCATGGAGCCTTGTCCTGGCAGCAGGGGTGACTGGGTGTCCTAGACAAGAACAAGAGTGAATGGAAATTCTGCTCTGGATATGGAGTTGCTTATGGCCCAGCCTGTCCTTGTGCCTGCTGTGCTGGTTTTAATGGCTGCTCTTTGAAACAAGGAACAATCAACCATGAAGAAACACTAAAATACAGGATGGCTTCAGCTAATGGCAGCAGGTGGAAAAGCCCACAGCTGAAAGTGGCATTTTCTGAGGACAGCAAGCAATGATGGGAGTTGTAAGGGAAAGGAGAGATGAAGACCAGATGGCTTAATTAAGAGCAGAAACTCACACAAATAGTCCAGAAGCTGGTAAAGAGGGAAGAAGGTTGCCCAAGGCAGTATAGCAGTGTGTTTCTGTGGCTAAACCCTGTTGAATCTTTGTGCTGGTTGTTCCAACGTGACTTCATCATGGCTTATCCCTGTCCACTGTCAGTGGTGAGCCAGAAACAGCTACAGTCAGCAGACCCTAAAAGAGAAAAACATCTTGATATTACCACCACTGTTTTCTCTTTTTGGTACCGTGCTGGTTTTCTGCAAGGTAAAAGATACTTGTAGTGACACTTCTGGACTATTGTGTAACACTTGGCATTGTAAGTAGGGATTAAGTGACTGAGGCATAGGAAGTTAGAAATATACAACTAGGCAGAAGTGGCAAAAGAATTGTGCTTATGTAACTGAAATATTATTTCTTCACAGAAGAGTCCAAGGAATGCATTGCACCCAGAGACAGGCTCTGGGTTTGTGAGGGAGACCGATTAAATGAGTACATTACATTGGCTGGTTTGACAGTGTCACAACACACATCTGGAAATTGTTCTGGAAAGCCTTGGGTGTGGAATGTAGAGTGCTAGAGGGAACCTCAAAATTTCAGTGAGGCTTTCAGGCAGTATTAGTGTTCCTGTGGTGCAGCAGCCTCAAAGGTGGATATTTCCCACATTTTTTCCATAAGAATTGAGTTCAAATGTTAAA